CTCTCACTCTAATTGCTTTTGCTTTCGAGTGCTGCCATTTCGAAATATCCTTAGCCAACATTGTTGGGCTCATTTCGGGACACTTTGTGGCCTAATTAATAAGGCAGGCACCTGGCCAGGTCCTAAGGACGAGCCCCTAAGGACACGCACGTAAAGCACATAAAGAAATTGCAAAAGTTATTAAAAACAAACACTCGGGAGGTAGAACAAAGGGAAAAAGAAAACTACGCACACGCGCACTTTTTATGGCCAACCATTTGGAGGAGAATAAAACGAAGGACGAAGGACGCAGGACTTGCTAGCATTTTGCCCACCATTTTGGCCAGCGGCCAAACACACATCAATGGGATGTAATCTCTTGGAGCCGCCGGAGAATCCAGCGGATTGACAAGGGTTAAGAGAGACTTTGGTGGGATTAAGGGTCGTAAGGAGATTTTAGTTAAAAAAATGGGTTTTAGGTTTAAAAAAAAAAAAAATTTTACACATTTCCCAAGAGCTGCTTACTAATGTTATAGACAATTTTATAATTATGGATTTATAAGGGATTTTAACCGAAGGTTAAGACTTTCTCTTAAATAGTCAAATGCAACTTTCTTTAAAAAAAACCAATGAATGCGAAATGTGGAAAGAGCAAGTATTTTGATTTAAATTAATTAAGTTAAAATATGTTAAAATGCAGAATGGTGTCACAAAATCCCTAAAAGATATCTTTTCAAGGTGCAAAATCTCCATAGAACTCACATGAGTATCTGAACAGATTTAAAATGTGGGAATTTAACCCGACTCTGGATGGATTTCACTGCAGCTGTCAATTCCCAAAACAGGAAGCTGGCAACACGGCAAGAAAAGCATCTGAAATAAAAAGCCCCAAGGTGGAAGAAGAAGCTGCAATTTCCAGCGCACATTTCAGATGCGTTCGCATCCGCCGCTCTTGAATTTCCCACAGCGATTTTCCCCAAGCCCACCTCCCCCTCCCGCTAATGCCGAAAGCCTGCCAAGTCATGTTTGCATGACGAAGTTTTCCTCAAACCATTTGGGCTAATATTTTAAGTTGGGCGAAGCTGGCAGTGATTTGTAACCTTTGATGACTTGGCGGGTTAAGCGAACGGGCGGGCGGGGATAACCAGGGGTTAAGGGAGGAGCCAGAGAGCCGCAGTTGGTAGTCGGAAATTAGCGCTAATCTTTGTAATTCCAACAGTATTAAGGATGGCTCTCAAGTGGTTAGAAATAGGGGAAGAACCAACGGAATAATTGTTAAAGTGGCTGAGCTGAACTGAGCTGCCAATTTCAGTCGCTTAAAGCTTACTTAATCTGTGCTTGACCGGATGGTTGAATTCTGGTTAAATTGCAAGTTAATTTAAAACTAAAACAAGAGAGAACGCTATAGTCGGGTTGGTGTCCCGACTATCTAATACCCGTCACTCCGCTAAAGGGAGTGCGAACGCTGTGTCGGGTTGGTGTCCCGACTAATAATCGTAACTCAGCTAAAGGGAGTGCGAGGGAGATAGATATATGTTGACAATTTATAAAGCGTATAACTTTTTAATGAATGGTCCGATTTGAAAAATGTCTTCTACATTTCGATAGGTATAAATATACACAACAAAATTTCATTTATACTTCTCGGAAATCTTTAAAGATGTGGGCGCAGGACGCATTTTAAAATCGTTAGTGGGCGATTGTGGGCGTTAGAGGGGGCGTGGCGCTCGGCTAAAATAAACTTGCGCTGCGTAGGAAGCCAAAGAATATGTGTGGGAAATCTCAATCTTCTAGCTTTTGTAGTTTCTGAGATCTCAGCGTTCATACAGACGGACAGACGGACAGACGGACAGACGGACAGACGGACAGACGGACAGACGGACATGGCTAGATCGACTCGGCTAGTGACCCTGATCAAGAATATATATACTTTATGGGGTCGGAAACGCTTCCTTCTAGATGTTACATACTTTTGCACGAATCTAGTATACCCTTTTACTCTACGAGTAACGGGTATAATCAGAAAAGATAGCTAAACAACATCATCTAATTTAAGCATCTGCAGTGGATGCATAATTCACAGATCTGCCTTCCAATCGCCTTCTGTTGCTGTCTTTCCATGAAAAACTGACATACTGCAACACATTTTCCTCCTATTTTCCTGCCTATTGTTGCCTGGCACATGAGACCAGACAGCAGGCTCCTAACTTGGAATCCCTATCCCATCTTCTCCTGGTCACTTCTGCACCAACAGTGCGTTCAGCTCAGAGACGTTTAACTCTTTGGTTATCCGTTTTAACACAAGGGGTATTTGAAGTCGGCCAGGGTATAATGAGCTCTATAAGGTTTAAGAACTGTAAATATAACTACATCAAAAATTTGTCATAAGTTCTTGACTATCAGTTGATTATGTAAAATTTTTTATTAATTATCCATATTATATTATACTTTATTTTTATTATATAATGCAATTTTTTGGCCTTAAATATTACTAGTATTTATAAAATCCTTTGTTTGTAAACTACAATCCCTTAGAGGATATCAACTATTCCAAATATCTGTATCATCACCGAAAACTTGTTGGTATTCATTATTTGGGCTTGTGTTCGTTTTGGGTACGAGTATCCTTGTTCTGGGATAAAGGAAGCTAAATTGGGCGTGGGTGGGTGTTTTTTGGCGTCAGCTGGTTAAACACACAAATGGTGAATGGAGTCACAAAACAGAAAGAAAACATTGTGCAACCCGAAGAAGCAGAAACGCAGAGAGAGCCCCAAAAGCCACTCGCATATTTTGGCTCAAGTTAATTTGGGAGTGGGCAAACCTTGGGTCTGCCGGGCGTGATGGAAAAGCTGCCAAGTTGTGTGGACTCTGGTCAATGTCGCACACAAAGTTGCCAAGTTGAACTACGCCCCCTTCTGGCCAAGAAAACACGAAAGTTGATCAAGAACTAAGTTTACCTCATCGAGGTGGTGCAACAAAGAATTTTTCTCACCCACTCTGGGGCACTAAGAAAAATAAGAAATTAAACAAAATAATAAAAGAATAACAACATATGAAAGTAGTAAAGTTTTCCAAAATTTACAAATATTTTTAGATAATCTTATGGTACTTAAAGATCTTTTATATTAACAGATTTTATTGCATATAAATAAATATATGCAAATAAATGTTGATATGTTTCTAATGCTTTGAGACACTATTTTGCCGAAAATAATAACTAATTTCCACCCGCCACATGACAAAGTTGCTCTGTCCTTGCATTTAGTTTCCGATCGAGTAACTCCAAGTTTTTGCGACAACTTTGTGCCAGTTATGTGTACTGTCTGCAGTTTAGAAACCACTTCGCAGACTCCTTTTTGTCCTGTGTAACTTCTCTGGCACCTCTCGACTTCCTAAGGAAATCTTAAACTTTCGCAAATTCTTTGTAAGAAGTCAAGATGGGAACGGGCTTTACACGTAATTAGTTAGGGGAAGTTGGGTAAATTAAACTGAGGGCAAACCACACAGTCATCGATAAAGTTTCATTATCTAAACCTTAAAAAAAAATTTGGAAATGGATAACCTTTTTTTGAGACATTGTACTAAAGGAACTAAAACATTTATAATTAATGGGTAAAATAAAAAATTGATATTTATTTTTAAATTGCTATTTAAAATACCTTTAATTTGATGTATTTTTTTATTGATGGTTTAAAAATAAAATAAATATTTTAAATCATTTTTTAAAATCCATATCCTAACGTATTTTAAATAAATATCAGAATGGTTTTTTTTCACTGAACAAAATACAATACAAAATACACACCTATGTGACAATAAAATCATTAAAGCTATACTTAATACCAAATTTATCTCTGATTTCCCGATATTCCCATGGTAACTGACTCATGCCAAAGGTCAGAGACAGCGAAATCTCAGCTTGAACCTTGTCAGTCCCCTTCTGTTGGCCAGAGGTCCTTTCCACCTTTCCACCCACTCCATACTCCATCACAGCCATCATATAACCGCCCTTCAATCATGTTTTGGCCCTTGTTCGAACGCCTGCTGACAGTTGGGCCGCAAATTTCATTCAATTTGCAAAAACACAAAACACAAAACCGACACCGAAACTGAAACTGAAAATGAAACTGAACCTGAACTCAGAACGGTCTCAATCTCGAAAACAGGGCGTGTGGGCGGGGTCAAATTGATGAACACGACCGAAGTTGGTCGCTCCTTGCTACTTTTTTGCACCGAAACAAAGGAGGAAAAGCAAACATTTTCATGTTTTTCCCAAGTCTTCAATCAAAATGCGTCGGCAAAGTTTTAATGCATGCGCTGCTGCCTACCCGGTTTTTCTCTAAAAATGAGAAGGAACGCAAAAAAAAAAAACTATACCGGAGAAAGTTTTTAAGTGACGAAATGAGGAGGCGTGGCAAGCTGGCTGCTGCCACACAGTTTGATAAATGATGTGTCGAAAATAAATGATTATGCTTTCAGGGGGACTCCCCGCAAAAGTTTTTTGTTTTACATTTTGCCACTTTCCCGCTTCCTTCACTCTTCGTTATAATTTCCCCTTATTTTAAGCTCTTTGCTCCGCAAAAGTTGATGTACTATAAGTTCATCTATTTGCATGCCTCATTTGCCATATTGATTTTGTTTATTTTTTTCGATTTTCTTTTTGTTTTGCTTCCTAGATTTGTTCGTTACGCCTAAAATGGAAAAGGTGGGTGGTATGTACATTTGTTTCCATCAAATTCGACTTAAGATTTACAATTTTGTTTTGGTAATTTGGGGATGAAAAATTAGGATTAAATGGAGTGAATTACATTTGGCCAGAAAAATGCTACAGGGGATCGTTTTAAAGTTTAGACTACACTTTCAAATAATAAGAATCATTTTTTAGAGAAGACAAATAGTAAATTAAATTCGAAACCCAGAAAAAACGTAATTTGTACTTGTGTAAACAGTTTTTACTGGACCGAGGGTCAACGCTATTAATAAGAAATTTGTAACACAGGTTAGATCATCGCCTTTCAGCTCTACTCAGCCTTGGTGGCTTCTCCCTCGGTTCTCGGCTTATCACCCGATCCTTCGGCGGCAGCCACCAGCAAAGCCGACGATGTCGATGGACGTAGCACCACGCTGCTGTCACTGCTCTCGCTGCTCGAATCGCCCACATTGAGATCACTGCTCAGAGATTCGGCGGGCGGAGAAGGAGCCACGGAAACGGGAGCCGGTGGCAACAAATTGGGAGTGCCAATGCAGATGCGTTTGGACGGCGGCGGAGCCACGTGTCCCAGTCGAGCATTGGAGATGGTTGTGCCAGGTGACACCGGCTCGAAGGCCATCAGTTCGCCGAAGTAGACGTGCTGGATCACGGGAAACTTGGAGAGTATCTAGAGATTATCCAAGGGGGTATTAGTATTTTACATGTCTATCTTATCTATTAGAGCCCTGCATAAATCATTCCATTTTTGTTTTATCATAGTATGCCATGAAATTTCTGATTTGTTTAGTTCAATACTATGTGAATTGAATTTAATGTTTTTATACCCTTGTAGAGAGTATTATAATTTCACTCAGATGTTTGCAACGCAGTGAAGGAGACGTTTCCGACCACATAAAGTATATATATTCTTGATCAGCACCAATAGCCGAGTCTATCTAGCCATGTCCGTCTGTCCGTCTGTCCGTTTCTATGCGAACTAGTCTCTCAGTTTTAAAGCTATCGCGATGAAACTTTCCCGAAAGTCTTCTTTCTATTGCAGGTAGTACAAATGTCGGAGAGAGCCGGATCGGACCACTATATCTTAAGGGTCCCATACACTCATAAAAATTAATTTCTAAATTTTGGAAATCTCGCCATTGAATCGGCCTACCTTTGAAAATAGAAAAAAAATTTCTTGTTATTAGAAAATTGGCCTTTGAATACAGAAAACCTTTCTTGATGGAAAAAATTCAAGAAAGAATTTTTCTTAAAAATAGAAAAATGAAAATCTCATATGTTTGTTTTGCCGTCGCAGCCAAAACATTTTTGTACGTATTTAAGGACAAAAACACCTTTGAATATATGAATGAAATGACCCTAGAATATAGGAAAGTAGCCATTGACTTCCTTCGGCTGCCGAATGTTAACGACAAGAAAAACGAAGTGGGACGAAGGGCCTACTCGGCCCGACTACTACCCGGCTACCGACTTCTCTGATCCCCCGAGCGTCAGTTGTGAAAAAAAATTCGTGAGTGATGGACGTGATTTTCAAGCGGATAAGAGGTGAAGCCTTTTTCCGAATATTCAAAGGTATGTAAATATATAATTTTTTGCATAGCGCGCGTACAATTGTATGTATGTAATTAAAGGATAAATTCAAAATCTCTTTACCAAGCTTATATCAATTAAGTTGAATTGTTTTTTAGCTAAGAGCTACGTACATACATACATTTGTACATAAATTTCTGGGTGTACAGTTCTATAATAACTTTATCTTATTACTCGCATTTTATTTATTTTTCAGAGTGAAAATACCTGCAGTTGCATCAGCCAAATAATTTCTTTGTCGAAGCTGTAATTTTGTTTTAAAACCTTCTAAGGTAAGAAAAATATGTTGTATTTGTTTGACATACTTTTGTATGCATGTAAATATCTATGCATGTACGCGGCTCACCCGATCTGAAACCCGATTTTCAACCCTTTCATATTCTGCTCCTCTCTCTCGCTCGCTTGACCTACGCGTCGCGACGTTTCTCTCTTTACCTTCTTAAAACTGACACGATCTGCCCTGCTTACATTCGGTCTCCTTTCGCGCAAAGGACTGTATGTAAATATATATGTATGTATGTACGTGTCTCTCCCGTGCCTCTCTCTGTCTGAAATTCGATTTTCAACCCTTCATTTTCTACCTGTCTAGCTCCTCTCTCTCGGTCGTCTGTCCAACGTGTTTGTATTTTGGCTATTATTAACATTACATTATTTCAAAAAAGTTATTTATCTAAAAACAAATCATTGATATCCCAATAACTCTTTTTTATAGATGAGGAAAGGCGAAGAAAATGGATCACCTTAGGTCATATGAAGTTCAACAGACCTTGGTTAATAATAATGTTTTCTTGAGTCAAAAATGTGTTATTTAAAAATGTTTAAATGTTAAGTGTTAAATGTTTTAAATGTAAATAAATATAATATGCAAAAGAAAAAACCAAGTTACATTTTATTTTTAGGGTTTCAGTGTTAATATAAAACTTCCTTTCAAGAAATATTATTTCTTAAATCAAGAAATAAAATTTCTTGAAAGGAAATTTAAACAAGAAAGAATTTTTCTTGTTTAAAAGGTGCCTTTCTAAAATACCCTTTCTTGTTTTAAGAAATTTAATTTCTTGAAACAAGAAACAAACCACCTTTGAAACAAGAATAGCCTTTCTTGTTTTAAGAAATATTTTTTCTTGTTTTTATGGTGGCTTTCTAAAAAACCCTTTCTTGTTTTAAGAAATTTAATTTCTTAAAACAAGAAATATTTTTTCTTGTTTTAATGATGCCTTTCAAAAAAACCATTTCTTGAAACAAAGGTGAGGTCGCCTTTGGCAAAAATTCAAGAAAGAATTTTCTAGATTTTAAGGAAATTCTTCGATTTTTTTTTATGAGTGTAGGAATATTCAAACAAATATAAGAAAATTCATTGTAACTTTGTAGGAAGTAGGCGTTTTGATTCTTGACTACTTAAAAACAACATTAAAATAAATAGAAACGCTGAATCTGGAATCCCCGGAACTGCACCGAGTGAGCATTCTGTTATCTACAAGGGAATATAAGCTTCGTCTGGCCGTAGGTAGCTTCCTTTCTTGTTTTACATTTATTTTTCAGCACCTAATCACTGCCCACTTTCAGCACCTAATCACTGCTCAGTTTCAATACCTAATCACTGCTCAATTTCAGCACCTAATCACTGTCTACTTTCAGCACCTAATCACTGCTCAGTTTCAATACCTAATCACTGCTCAATTTCAGCACCTAATCACTGTCTACTTTCAGCACCTAATCACTGCTCAGTTTCAGCACCTAATCACTGCTCAGTTTCAGTACCTAATCACTGCTCAATTTCAGCACCTAATCACTGCTCAGTTTCAGCACCTAATCACTGCTCAGTTTCAGCACCTAATCACTGCTCAGTTTCAGCACCTAATCACTGCTCAGTTTCAGCACCTAATCACTGCCTACTTTCAGCACCTAATCACTGCTCAATTTCAGCACCTAATCACTGCCCAGTTTCATCACCTAATCACTGCCTACTTTCAGCACCTAATCACTGCCTACTTTCAGCACCAAATCACTGCCTACTTTCAGCACCTAATCACTGCCTACTTTTAGCACCTAATCACTGCCCAGTTTCAGCACCTAATCACTGCCTACTTTCAGCACCTAATCACTGCCTACTTTCAGCACCTAATCACTGCCTACTTTCAGCACCTAATCACTGCCTACTGTCAGCACCTAATCACTGCTCAATTTCAGCACCTAATCACTGCTCAGTTTCAGCACCTAATCACTGCCTACTGTCAGCACCTAATCACTGCTCAATTTCAGCACCTAATCACTGCTCAGTTTCAGCACCTAATCACTGCTCAATTTCAGCACCTAATCACTGCTCAGTTTCAGCACCTAATCACTGCTCAGTTTCAGCACCTAATCACTGCTCAGTTTCAGCACCTAATCACTGCCTACTTTCAGCACCTAATCACAGCTCAGTTTCAGCACCTAATCACTGCTCAGTTTCAGCACCTAATCACTGCCTACTTTCAGCACCTAATCACTGCTCAGTTTCATCACCTAATCACTGCTCAGTTTCAGCACCTAATCACTGCTCAGTTTCAGCACCTAATCACTGCTCAATTTCAGCACCTAATCACTGCTCAGTTTCAGCACCTAATCACTGCTCAATTTCAGCACCTAATCACTGCCCAGTTTCATCACCTAATCACTGCCTACTTTCAGCACCTAATCACTGCTCAATTTCAGCACCTAATCACTGCTCAGTTTCAGCACCTAATCACTGCTCAATTTCAGCACCTAATCACTGCTCAGTTTCAGCACCTAATCACTGCTCAATTTCAGCACCTAATCACTGCTCAGTTTCAGCACCTAATCACTGCTCAATTTCAGCACCTAATCACTGCCCAGTTTCATCACCTAATCACTGCCTACTTTCAGCACCTAATCACAGCTCAGTTTCAGCACCTAATCACTGCTCAGTTTCCGCACCTAATCACTGCCTACTTTCAGCACCTAATCACTGCTCAGTTTCATCACCTAATCACTGCTCAGTTTCAGCACCTAATCACTGCTCAGTTTCAGCACCTAATCACTGCCTACTTTCAGCACCTAATCACTGCTCAGTTTCATCACCTAATCACTGCTCAGTTTCAGCACCTAATCACTGCTCAGTTTCAGCACCTAATCACTGCTCAATTTCAGCACCTAATCACTGCCTACTTTCAGCACCTAATCACAGCTCAGTTTCAGCACCTAATCACTGCTCAGTTTCAGCACCTAATCACTGCCTACTTTCAGCACCTAATCACTGCCTACTTTCAGCACCTAATCACTGCCTACTTTCAGCACCTAATCACTGCCCAGTTTCATCACCTAATCACTGCCTACTTTCAGCACCTAATCACTGTCTACTTTTAGCACCTAATCACTGCCCAGTTTCATCACCTAATCACTGCCTACTTTCAGCACCTAATCACTGCCTACTTTTAGCACCTAATCACTGCTCAGTTTCAGCACCTAATCACTGATCAGTTTCAGCACCTAATCACAGCTCAGTTTCAGCACCTAATCACTGATCAGTTTCAGCACCTAATCACTGCTCAATTTCAGCACCTAATCACTGCCTACTTTCAGCACCTAATCACTGCTCAGTTTCAGCACCTAATCACTGCTCAATTTCAGCACCTAATCACTGCTCAGTTTCATCACCTAATCACTGCTCAGTTTCAGCACCTAATCACTGCTCAGTTTCATCACCTAATCACTGCCCAGTTTCAGCACCTAATCACTGCCCAGTTTCAGCACCTTATCACTGCCTACTTTCAGCACCTAATCACTGCCTACTTTCAGCACCTAATCACTGCCTACTGTCAGCACCTAATCACTGCCTACTTTCAGCACCTAATCACTGCCTACTTTCAGCACCTAATCACTGCTCCATCTCAGCACCTAATCACTGCTCAGTTTCAGCACCTAATCACTGCTCAATTTCAGCACCTAATCACTGCCTACTTTCAGCACCTAATCACTGCTCAGTTTCAGCACCTAATCACTGCTCAGTTTCAGCACCTAATCACTGCTCAATTTCAGCACCTAATCACTGCTCAGTTTCAGCACCTAATCACTGCTCAATTTCAGCACCTAATCACTGCCCAGTTTCATCACCTAATCACTGCCTACTTTCAGCACCTAATCACTGCCTACTTTCAGCACCTAATCACTGCCCAATTTCAGCACCTAATCACTGCCCAGTTTCAGCACCTAATCACTGCCTACTTTCAGCACCTAATCACTGCCCAGTTTCAGCACGTAATCACTGCCCAGTTTCAGCAGGATCGGACCACTATATCTAAAGGCTCCCATAGGAATATTCAAGAAAATTCATTGTAACTTTGTAGGAAGTAGGCGCTTTGATTCTTGACTACTTAAAAACAAAATTTAAATAAATAGAAACGCTGAATCTGGAATCCCTGGAACTGCACCGAGTGAGCATTCTTTTATCTACAAGGGTATATAAGCTTCGGCTGGCCGAAGGTAGCTTCCTTTCTTGTTCTAATTCATTTTGAATTGAATTAATGAATGAATAATTTTTATGAATTTGCCATATTTTTGTTGTGCTTTCTTTTAAGAACAAAAAGTGTAAAATTTTTAACAAATCAAAGTTAACTGCATAGTAAATAAAATTCCGGCAGATTTAATCACAAAATTATGGCCCTTTCTTCTTCAAAAGAATTATTATCTTTATTAAAATTATTTCGGAATTCATGTCATTCATTCATTCAATTCTATTAAACTCAAAATTCAAATTTTTTCAATACTATTTAACTCAAAATTCTAAGTAATTCATTCATATAAAACAAAAATTTAAAGTAATTCATTGAATGCATTCTTGCATTCTAATCCCTCACAGAACCCACCTCCTTTTGGTACATTTTCACCAGGCCCGCGTTGATCTTGACCCACGAGGGCACATCCGTGATGCTCCACAGCTGGTTGGAGTGCTCGCCAAAGTGACCAGTCTTCACCTTGCAGATATAGTCGATGCAGCTGATGAACATGAAGTGGTCCTTGAAGTCACTGATGATCTGCTCGTCCACGAACTTTGAAGGATCAAAGGGGCTTTTGACTGAAAAAGGATAGTTATGGAAATGCAATCTGTAGGGGATTCAATAACCAGATTTACCTGCCAGCTGCGCACTGCCCCAGATGAAAGGAACAAACTGAAAGTCGTCCAGGGACCAGACTCCTTGACTTCCAGCGGGTTCCATGTTGTAGGTGCGCTGCAGCTGCCGTACAAACTCCAGATAGCGATTGAACAGCCTCAGGGCGGCACTGACGATGTCCTGTTCCTGCAGGATTTCGGCCTTGAACAGGGAGCAGAGGAAGAATAGGAAGGACAGCTCGTGCCCGGTGCCGTAGTCAATCCGGGTGGCATTGCCAAAGGACTCCACAAGGTACTGCTCCAGTTCGCTCTGGTATCTCTTTTTGGCCGCCGGCAGCAGCTGCTCCAGGAGCTCGGGCAACTGCTCGCGCATCTCCTGGGCCCAATCCCTGTAGGCCTTGTTCCCAAATCGCTGGGGCTGCTCCAGCGGAGGATGTTGCTCCACCAACTTCTCCAGCGAATCAAAGAGGCGCACTAGTTTCTTGAGCATCTCCGATTCGGGCACCTCGTCGGTGGTCTTGATCCCCTGAATAGCCGAGCTGGTACCATTTATGTAGCCAATTAAATCGTGGTAGGCGCGGGATCTCTGCCAAATGCCCAAATCACCTAGATTCTGCACCCTCTTCGTAATTGCCGGCAGTTTACCTAGAGAAAAACTGGTTAATCCCGTTTGATTTCGTGTGGATATGGAATAAGCGCACCTGCTCCTTGCGTATTGGCATCCGCCATTCTCGCAAAGTACGTATTTTACCTCGATTTAAAGTTATTTCGCTCGGGAGTTACGTTTTGTTTGTTATTTTGGGGGCATCTTCTTCTTCTTTGAGTTGAGTGCAATTGTGTCATCACTAAGTATGACCGTCTTATGGCCGCCGCACATAGTTGTTCACACTTGCTACCGCTGTTGCAAACACCTCTGATCGAGGTACGAAAAAAATCAAACCTTTTAAATTCCTTAAAAATTTAATACAGCATTTATATTTAAAAGGACAATTTATAATTTCTCTTTCTGTGTGAAAAAATTGTTTCGCTCTTTTGTTGATTTTACAGAAGAATCGAATTTTCCAAAATGGTATCCTTGATCCAGTTCATTTGGTGCGTAACATTGGTGTAAACACTTGGACCTTGACAGAATGTCGTTCCATAGCTGACAATACCGAACTGGAAAACCCGAGAAGTTGGCCCATATTTGAGCTCTGCGCTTAACGGGCTTCCTCCATCTCCTTTACATGAGTCAGAGGTTGAATTTCCGGCGCATATTTCGTAAGCATCCAGATTTATGCCAATAAGTTCCGAACATTCCGAACGATTCCGATGGATTACAGTCGCTGTCTGAAGTATCCGGGACCCGTTAGAGCTATCCCTCCAGTCAGTCTGACCCCAACCAGTCACCTTAAAATCGTTAAAATGTCCTACCACAGGTTCATTTATGAGCAGACAGATCGGCCTGATGTAATCTAAGAAATATAAAAGAATTATTAAAGTTAGGTTTTGCCTTTTTTCAGTAATGCCCAACGAATTACCTGTAAATTGAACGCTGTGGGTCATTCGAAGCAGAGCTATGTCCATTCTTGTTTGAGTTTTCGAAGGCGAAAATAGTTTGTGTAAAAACTTTAATTCAATATTAATATCGAGAGAACTTGGTATGCAATCCGAGGACGAACAATCGTGACTGCTTTCCCTGTCGTATTCGCCTAGGCGCACCTTACTGATAAAATCGATTAAACTTTCTAAAATACAAAATACAGGTCGGATTCATACTTAGGTAAGTTTTTATCCAAAAAGCAACTCGCTGCAGTCAGAACAAATCCTGCAAAATAGTATCAACAACCATTAGGTTAGTCTTAAATAAAACAAGAGAGAACTCTATAGTCGGGACTTTGACTATCAGATACCCGTTACTCAGCTGAAGGGAGTGCAGGGGAAATAGAGATAGATAAGCTTCTCCCGCCATCCAGCGGCTGTTGAAATTTTTGATGGCTCTATTTAGCGGCTATTTTAAAACGCTACCTTCTACTCTTTTACTTTACGAGTAACGGGTAAACAAATTAAGCTAAACACGTACGAGAGGTGATGAGCGAGCCTCCACAGACTAATGTTTCATTGTGAAGCAGGAGAGCCATCCATGGATTTGAGAATATATCAGCATCTTGTCCTTCAACTATACGCTTAACTCTCGAAGTGCGCCTTCTTGTTCCGCAATTACTTTCCAGTAAATAGGACGTTCCTTCCTGAGCCAAGATAAATAGTACGGCTAACACCGCGATTGCTGCTAAGACCTTCATATTTCAGCAAGTACTGAAGATATGCCTCAAGCCCCATGGACTTTTATAGGAGATTTTTGGCAAGCCGACAACGAATGAGATAAGAAATTTCCATCTAAATTTTTAGTTTAAGAGTTCAGTTTGAGGGTTTTTCCAAAACACTTTTCGACAGAATTCCTTATCATGTCAATTGTGATCTTTTTGACTTGCCATAAAAAAAGAGAAATATTTTTCGACCGAATTCTTGTCATGTCAATAGTGATCTTTTTGACTTGCCATTTTAAAAGAGAATAATCATTTAATTTAATGGTTTGCGTTGTTGTTGTTAGTTGTTGTTGTTCTTTTACGGATCTAGCTGATTTTGCAACAACGACGTTCTATGTGCACACGTATTTCCGAACAACATATAAAGCTACTGAAGTTGCAGATGCAGATGCAGCATAGTGCAGATGCAACATAATTGCAAAACATAATGCACTCGACGAATCATCGTGTAATTGGCCAACAGCCCATCCCTATGCGATAGTTAACAACAAACTCCGCCTACGCCGGCAAAAATCTGTGAAACCGCCACGAAAACCTTTAAAAGGGGAAAAATCTAACAATAACCATGATCGAGACACTGTATAACCTGCCCTTCCACATCCTGGTGCCGCCCAATATCAAGGTGCGGAAATTCAGCATTCCAATGCCATCGCCAATGGCTGTTTTCAGTTTGGTATTGTTTTCCTATTTTCTGGTCACAGGCGGTGAGTTATTAGTTGAGTTCTTATTTAAAATACTTACTTACGAGGATATTTACCCGCAGGAATTATTTACGACGTGATCGTGGAGCCCCCGAGTGTGGGAGCCACCGTGGATGAGCATGGCCACTCGCGTCCGGTGGCCTTTATGCCCTATCGCGTCAATGGGCAGTACATCATGGAGGGATTGGCCAGCAGCTTCCTGTTCACCGTCGGCGGCCTGGGATTCATCATCATGGACCAAACCCATTCGCCGGGCAAGACCAATCTCAATCGCCTGCTGCTCACCGCCATGGGATTCATCTTCATCCTGGTCTCCTTCTTCACCACCTGGCTGTTCATGCGCATGAAGCTGCCCAGCTACCTGCAGCCCTAGAATCTCTACTAAAAACGCACGGATCGGAGCTCTCTTAGTATTCTCTTACAGTCGACAAAATCTCTAAATCTCGGGGATGCCCCCTAAATCTCTTTCAACCTAATTTATGTATTTTTTGTTTGAAAGTGAGATGTCGGGGATAACTCCACATAAGAAATTCCAGTTTAAAAGGCTTCAAGCTACTGAAAAAACGATCAAAGGCATTCCTAAAACTGATTTTGATATTGTCTATAAAAATTTAATAAGAATTTTGTATAACTGGCTGGTTTAAATAGCAATTATTAAGAATTTATAATCAGTTTTAGAATACCATATAATTTCTCTATTTTCCCCATGATGTCAAATAAATAACTTAATTAACCAACAAATAAGGAGCAAATGGACCCGGTTTAATTATATAGTTCGACTCTTTTATTTTATAGCCTCTCAAACATTGTCGCCTTTGTATTGTGAGCATATAAATTCAGGGAAAACAATCCATTTGGCGTCCCATGGCTCTCAGTTTAGATCGCGCTGTTGGCTTGTTTGGCTCGCTAGTTCGTCCGCAGCGCGCAAAAACGTTGTCCATCGCCTATATAATTTTAGAATCTATTTTTGTTTATAAATATCAAGTACCTATATGTAGGTACATGTACTAAAAGCAGAAATTTGCAAAACAGTTACCAGAAAAAGTTAAGAATACTTAAAATTGGCAATTAAAAAGCTACGTTTTTCTTGCCTTCTCCAAGTGATGTAACCACGAGGAATACGAATCCTCTTCTGCTCTTTTCTGCGTCGCATTTTGTTTACTTCTTGGGGCGAAAAACCAAAACAGAGACATGTCGAAGAAATGCACTGTGAGATCGCTGAGCGACAGCGCTTTGGCGGAACTGGCCAACCTACTGGTGTCCACCATAAGTTATGTGCAATATGCCCCGGATGTCCATCTGGACATTAATATCGTGATGGTGGAGCTAAACGAGTATTTGGCCCAGCTGGGAGCCACGTCGAATATTTATCAGGATCTGCTCAGGGTGATCCTCAGTTCGGATTACCTGGACGCCAACATGAGGTTCACCTGCCTGCAGATGCTGCTCAACTGCGGGGTGACTTTTCTGATGACCGAGGTGTTTCCCTTTAGCTATTACGAGAAAATTCTACAGGTAATAAAAAGATTGTTGAAATTGGTATACCTTTGTCAATAATGTTAAAAATTGTAGTTTTTAAGATAATATAATTTAAATATGTTGTATTTTGAACTTTTTCAGAATTTTAAATTATGCTTTTTAAAAATTTAAGAATTATTTGGACAATAATGGGATGCAAATTATAATTATAGGCTTCATTTATTTGTAAAATAATAACCTATAGGCGTGATTGATTTTAATCATAAATATTCTTGAACTTTTTCAGAATTTTGAATTTGGTTTTTAAAAAATTTGGGAATTTTTGAATTATTTAGAAAATAAAAGGATACACATTATGATTATAGGCTTCATTTATTTGGAAAATAATTGGATTGAAAATAAATTTATAGGCGTGATTAATTTTGATCATAAATATTTCCATAACATTTTTTTTATATTTCACAATTTTAAATTAAATTTTTAAAAATCGGAAATAGGAGGGATCTGAAAATAAATGTCCAAATAATTCGAAAACTTCCAAATTCTATTTTTTCAGCAAGAAATTTAAAGTGTAAATTTTATGTTATTTTTTCTGAAATTATATTGGAATTTTTTAAAAATTGTATATTTGTTATATTATATCTTATTATAAATCATATAGCTGGGGTATAACTTTGCATAGGTATATTAATTTCAACTTCCCAAAGTTAGATTTAGTATTCTCTTAAAACCTATTTACGATTCCAGGTGATTGCAGCCCAAGGAGCTGGATTGCGGGTGTTAAATATCAAAGGAATCTGGGTTAAGGAGGAGCACATGCACTACATGTACGACATAGTGAGGAAATGCAATCAGCTTGTCAAGCTATATGTGCCATATATAGCCAACGATCGGTTGCTGGAGGAGATTGGGAAGTGCTGTACGCGTTTGCAGATTTTGGACATTTCCGGCGAGACTGATATTACGGAAATCGGCATTGATTTTCTGGCCAAGGGCGTCTGCTCGCAATCCCTCACGGTGGTGGATGTGGGAATGCCGGGCGAGGAGAATATCTGCTACTCGGATATTGCCCTGATCCTGGAGCATTGTCCCCAAGTCGAGACCCTATCCACCTACTCCTTTGTCGGGGCCTCCTTGAAGTTTATCTACGATAATATCGACGATAGGTTCAAGTGCCGCTTGAAATATATCCATGACACGGGCACCGATGAAGCCACCTTGCAGGTGATCATGCAAACGTGTCCCAGGTTGGAAACCCTATATCTGGACTCCCCGAAGACTGGAAGCCTGAGGGCGCTGCACACACGTAATTTGAGGAAACTGAAGATCTACAAATTCGTGGTGGCCGAGTTACTGCCGCTGCTGGAGCGACCAATTGGCAGGAATCTGCGACATCTCACGATGATCAAGGGTTTGGGGAACCTCGACCTGGGGAAGTTGGCTCGTCTTTGTCCCTCGCTAATCGATCTCGACTGCTACATGATCGACAGTCTGTCCTACGCACAGGGACACGCAAAATTCCAGCAGCTGGAGGGTCTGGAGATCCTAAGTAGCGCCATCATGACCAGTTCTTTAAAGGCCTTCCTCTGCAATTCCACGGATCTGAAGAGATTGGCTGTGGACACGGTGGACTTTACGGATGAGGATATAATTAGGTAGGTAGAATGTAAAGTGATCTTATTAATAAAATTAATAATTCTTTATTTTTCAGCATGTTTATGCAACATGATTTTAAAGTTCTAGAGGATGTTTGGTTTACTTTGGCGCCAGAGCTTACAGTGCAATCTGTCGAGGTAAGTAAATAATTCATATACATTTATATTTATTGTATTAAAATGTAATTTCTTTCTAGTTACTAATGGACAGTTGTCCAGAACTGCAGTCCGTGGGTCAATTAACCGGCTGGTCCTTAACGCCCGATGATTTGGCGCTGATTCGAGGACTTTTAAAGAGCGGCAATTCGAGCATTGTACTGACACCAAACGGTTTTCTAGCTTGAGTATTATTAAGACATTTTTTAACCATTAACATTGTTTTAGTTGATCTTAACGATTTAATTTATTTGTAAAATTTAACGATATTATCTTATCTTTATAGCGCCTTCAGTAGCCCTATTGCTGCTGTCTCCTTCCCGCCAAGAGGAGCAAACTTTGTTGTGAACAAATCAAATGTTGTGTATTCTAATGTGCTTGTGATATTATAAAAATAAACTTGTTTGAATGTATTATTTATTTTATTTAAAAATCGATTTATCACTTAGGTTTTCCGCCAAACTATCGATATCCACCGTCATCGATGTTTCTCTTCTAGCAGACAGCTGTTTTCATTTATCGCCCATCGATACTTGTCGGGTTGCCATGGTGCCGAACATTACGCACAATTTATATACACATTTTATTCACTGAAAACGAGCAAGGGGAGAATAATTAAATTTGGAAACAGCCAATTAGGATATTTCTCTGTTGTTATATGGCAAATCGGAGTAAAAACACGTGGATCTGTAGAGCGGCGTCTGGTCTTCGACGCACTTGGCAACCCTTGTCGCGACGTACATATACTTCTTATTCGGAAAAAAATTGTAAGAATTAGCTCGGTGGGCGACTTTTTGCTCAAAACGTTGAATTTACCCAAGAATCTCAATCTAAAATCGCATTTAACGGTTAAGAAACTTAATAACCGTTAAAAAACCTATGTGAAAGTGACTTTACTCTACTATACGAACCAAAAAATCCAAGTAAAAAGCAACTTCCGCAGACGTCAGCAAGTGCCACATAAAAAAGAAAGAAATAGATGGAACAAACAAATAAACAGGGCTGATTCGATAAACAAAACCAAGGAACAAACCAAGTACAGCACAGGACAACAAAATAGGAGCGGCCGAGTGTGCCGTGCTGTCATGCATTTTGTTACACAGCAGCGGGCACAACAGCAGCACCACAAGTCCTCCACCTCCTCGTCGAGCTCCTCGCTGGCCTCCAGTTCCTCGTGCTCCGGATCGGGATCGGGATTGGGATCAGGATCTGGCCTGGGATTAGGATCCACCTCCCGCTTCGTGGGCCTGCGCAAGTCCTCCAGCCAGGGTGCCCTGCCCAAGTCCTTGGCCACCGCCCACAGCTTCTTCCATCGTCCTTCGTCCTCGTCCTCATCCTCGCAGGGCAAGCACAAGCGCACCGCCAGCCTCAATGCGACGCCCATGTGAGTTGCCACGCCCCCAAATAGGTCCTACTATCCAATATACTAATCGAAAATCTAAAGTTTTATGCTTTTACACAGAAAGAAATTAGGGGAGTTGAAGGACTTTCAAGCATTGTAATGATAAAAAAGTCCTTGACAGTGAACGCTCGATAAAATGTGCATTCACTGTAAAGCTAATAAAGTTTATTAAATTTCCATTTCTACATTTTTTGTTTAGTTAAATACTATTAAACACTATTTTTAATATTTAACTTAAAGCCCAAGAATGTAAAGTTTTTGTTTTAATTTTTTTTTTAAATAATTTTTAAAATGGTTTCAATAATTGAATTTTTTTTTTTTCATACATTAAATTAATAATACTAAAATAATTTTTAACTTTCGGGCTTAATAAATAAATTGTTATTATAATTTTAAACCTAATATACGATCATACGATCAAAAGTGGTCAACAACCTTTGTAGTCCTCGGTCTAATTTCTTTCTGTGTAAAAGAAACCTAAGAGTTAAGCGTGTTAATTTGTGGTGTAGGATTGCCCGCTGGTTTGCATGTTTAACCCGTTGCTAGTCATATTGCATGTCGTTTATAAGCCCCTCTTTGTTCCTTTCAGTTTGGTTTATCTACCCCCCGATAACCCCCTTCCAAAATCTGTGATAATACGCGTTGCCCCATTCTAATTGCCCCACACCTCTTGCACTTCTTGCGATTTGATAGCCTTTGCGTTTATTGCGCAACAGTTGCCTCACAGCAGGGAAAGGTACATTGCGTTTCGTCGTTGTAAGGCGCTTTAGGATATCGATTTTGCGGCAACTGAGGCACAGAAAATAAACGGTCGGAGCCAGTAAGCAAATAAATAACTTTCTTGACTTTTGTAAGTCTGCGAATGTGTCTGGGTTATCATCGTACTGTGCTGGCTATCAGTTAATTTAGTGAATGAACTCAAAATAGGGAAAATATGGGTGCTTAAATTAATAGATAACAAAGTAAACAATTGCTAAATTTAAATAGCAAGTGGAAGTTTTTGGAATTCTGAAAAGTTTATCGACTTTAAGTTTAAACAAAAGATAAAAGGGAAAATATTTAATTTAGTTTTGTATGTAACTAGCAAAAGTTCAATTAAATTCGATTTGTTTTTATTTGCTATTCAGTCGAAAAGTTCAACGAAATTCCTACTTAAAGTAAGTAGCTGCAATAAAAAGTATATACGTTGTTGAAATCCGGCATTATGAGCTAGTTATAATTAAGTATTAGGTTTTTATTTTCATTAAAAAGTCTCATTAAATCAGTAATTGGCCAATTTTCAAGGGTTTCCACATTTTCCCAATGTTTAATAGTCTGGCCCACTGTATTTATTTGCACCGACCAAAAAGTATACGAATGGTGTCTGGTGTTTTGTGCACTGAAGCGTTTTCCACGTAAGCCAAAAAAAGCATTTTCGATTAGCCTTGGCTGGGATTTGTTGTTGGAATCCTCCGTAGGAGGTTATCTACTCTGAATTTGCATTTTTATAGTATTTGGGTGGGAAGTTGGTTTGGATTTTACTTATAAAAGCTCTGTATATAAGTCCTTAAACTTAAATCAAGATTAATTTGACCATCTAAACTATAATATAAGTCTACCCCTAAAAAAAGGTCAGTAGCAAATTCCACCCAGAACGGATTGACATAAAAATCTAAAAAAAATCACAGTAATTACTAAAATATAATATAAAAAAATAAAGTTTGTATCTATAATTGTTATGAATTTTATGAATATTATATATTTTAAAAAGATATTTCTTATCGTTGAATATAAGACGGCTAGCGTATGCGAGGGTCTCCTATATCTCGGTCCGATTTTCCCACCCCGAACCCAAGAAAACCGGGGGGATTGCCATTATTCTCTCGGCGGCTGCTCTCGAGTGCAAATCGGAACGCCGAGCTGGGATGACGTGCCCGGCACGAGCTCCCACTTTTCGATATTCAGTTCTCTATTCTCTAGTTTACCTTTTGAAATTCCTATATATCTCGCCATCGCGTGCCTTAAACAACAACAACAGCCAAGCAACAAACAAACAAACAAATGACAATCAACAGAGGAGAAAAATACAAAACGACAAAGCGACTCTGAACACGGAAAATTAATTAAATAATTAACAGCAAAACGTTGGACTGTGTGTGGGATAGTTCATAAATTAATGACATATTGCCGAGCAGTGCTAAAAATACGAATAATTTTTGCGTTTTGCCGTATTTACGTTTTGCGTTTCGTCATCACTTTTTTTGCGCTGGCAAAGACCAGACTTGGCCCGTTTTGGCCACTTTTTTTTCGGCTGTTCCTCAGCAATGACATAGATTTTCGGTTGGACAATACAAAACAAAGTGGCAGCAAACCAATGCCGAAGGAGGAAATAAAGAAGCCGCCGAGGAAAACACTGAATGTGGAACCAAAGAAAGTCAAGCGAAAGAAAATGTAATACTTTTTCGCTCTTCACTATTGATTTTTCTCCGGGTTTAAGTGGTTCAGAGGTCTCCTCTCGTTTCGATGTCGGTAATATAGCAATTACTAACTTTAGGTGAAGTAGCTTAGTATTCTTGGGCAGCTAGTTAGTGGCCTTTCATGTGGGAAATGCATTCGCAATCCATGACTAATGGAGCACTTTGCGGCCACAAAGGCCAAAGTTCAAGGGGGAGAAATATCTATTATTCAAGCTTCCATTCGTAATGATAACTTGCAGTCTTTGCTAATAATTGATATACTGCATACCAGTAATTGCGTAGAATTCTGAATGATATTTCCCATTGATAGCTTTCCATTCAAATTGCCTGTTTGCGAAATTTCACAAAAGTTTTAGTCACACAATTTGCGTTAAAAAAGTTTAAATTATACAATTTTAAAAACCTCATTTAGTCATCAAAAATTCCTGGACTTTTTTTTTGTTAATTCGAGATATTGTTGATATAAAAAGCTATTTCTATTTATCAACAAGAACCATACGACTTATCCGCCCCTAAAATAATGCCTAGTAAATTTCCTTGCTTAATTATCTTATATGACGTTTGTTTAGGGTATAAATAGCATTGAATCACGAGTATTTTATCTTGGAATATTCTCAACAAACCTGTACTACGTCAATTCGTGAGAAATGTTGTTTCTAGTTTTATCAGAAATTCTGAAAAATTATAAAAACCAATCATTCTTAAATACTGGAAACCATTTGGTACACCAAGTACTTTGTGGCTTATCGCAAATTGCCGTCACAACCCCTGAACTCCACTTCAACACATGATTCAAATTCTATATACACATTATAATCCATTACATTATCTCTGATCTTTCACACATTTGAGCTGACTTTTAGCAATTATACATATATACGTGCTCATTTAATGATGTTCGTCATTAAATGGTGTTCGCCATTCATTTTTGTTTACTCGATTCGCAATGTGTTCGAATGCTCTCCATTCCAGTAAATATGTATATTCTTCATGAACTTGAACCGATCTACTGATAAGAATGGTCGAGTTGAATCCCTTGGGGGTGAATCTCTATATAAACGACGAGTGAGAAAAACGGAAACTCGTGCTTGTATTTATTAAGACTTCTGTAAATAGTGGAAGTACTTATATGTTCACCAGGCACAAAGACTTTTTTGTCCTTGATGTACAACTTTTTGATAAGGCTGATAATCTTTATGGCGATTATTAAGGTACAGTTGGGTCAGTTACAATTGCTTTCCCAGTACTTTGGAACTTAAAAAGCTTAAAAAATCATTAAAGCCTGATTGTGTCATGGCTTAATTTGCATATATGGAATTTTATGGATTCTGAGTGCTTTCGCTCTTTAATAAACAGATGTTTCACTAAAAATGTTGCAAAATATATTTTTTTCGGGCTCAACAAAGATTAGGGAACTGGGTTAAATCGTTTCAGGCTTTATTGTTTGAACAAATACACATGAAAAGTGCCTTGCCTTTCCCTGACCATTAAACGCTTTACTAAAGCTCAATGCTGGAAGTATCTTATCGTTCTTATCAGTGCCAAACAGTGCGGCTGCTAGTATACGAATATATACTCCTCTACGTTTATATATTTATTAAGAAAATAATAACAATTGTGTGGCACAACACATACACGCCCACACCGAGTAGAAGAGTAGTGCACAATAGAATTGATTACAATCGTTTAATGGCAATTGGTACACCATTCCGTCGCAGCCCACGGAGGCGAGAGCACGTCTAATTGAAAATAATATATATATAAAGAGTATATGTACGCGTCAAAAATGTTGCGGCGAACGTTGCGAAAAAGTCGGAAACACCGGGTTCTTTGGTACGAAATGATCTTTGCTCTCTCCAGGGCCTGGGAAACTATCAAATCTACGAGTATTTTGTGTGTGCTATGTGCTATCAATGGGGCAAACAATTAAAGGAAATTAGTTTACCGCGAAATTACTTAAGCCAGCGATCAGTTAAGAGAAGGCGACAATGTCTTCTAAACAAGCCAATTGACAGTTGTCGATGGCACCTCAAACTAATCATCTGAGGGGGCAGCCTTATCGAAGCCAGTGACTAATGGACTAGATTGTGTTGCGGAAACATTAATGGCTCTTTGTTAATTGCCAGAAGCACTGGTCGGATTAGCCATTGAACTTTTGAAAATGGTTTATAATTGCAGCAATATATTAGAACGTTGACGTCCCATCGAGTTCCTGGGAAATGCTCATAAAAGTGCACAACCACTGTGATAATGCTTAATTGGTGACTATCTGAAGATTTCTTGAAATTTCCTGTAATAATAATGAGTTATTTTTTATTACAAAGGCTGTTGCTTTCTACAGTATTACATAAATATTTTTTGAATATCTTGATTTAAAAATATTGAACCTTGTTTAAAAGTTTCCACAATTCCTTCCTATATTTATGCACCTTTAGCAATGAAAAAAAAAAGTTTTTAATTGTTCAATTTTTCTTCTTCGGCTCTCCAAACACTACAAAAAAATCTACCTTTATCAACTTAAAATAATTAGGTATATGACCGCTTAGGAAATGTGATTGAAGTGGATCCACCTGTTGTGGTCTCTAATCTGATTTACTTTGTAGAAATGAGTTTTATAATATAAAGCGCTTTGGTGTAGATATCGTCTCGAATTGTGTTGGTCACTTTCTTTCTCTTTAGATTTAATCCCATAACAATAAAACACTGTACTTCTTTGGAATAAATTGGTACTTTTGAATAGTTTTGAATTTCATAGCTCTCAATTGTTGTGGGAAATATATAAATTGGCCTGTCTAGTTCTAGATCCAATGTGAAATTTAAACTTTGTAGTGCTCCCAATACTTTTTCCTCTGGTTTCGATCCCCTAAGTATTTCTTTAGATGTTGTACGTATCTGATTTATTTAGTTGCTCCCGTTGTTCCATCGTCTTGGGCATGAGTTTTGATTTGGCATTTGTTATTTTGATTTGTTTATATATGCATTTTATTGTAGGATTAAAGATAGTGAATTAAACAACCCAACAACATCAAGTGTAACCATAACCGCTACGACTGCCGAAAGTTCGAGCAGTGGTAATGCCAACATGATACCCGAGACCACCCAGCCCGATCAGCTCCAGTCACAGACACAATCCCAGAACCAGTCACAGTCACAATCGCAGGATAATCCCGAGAATCCCCCGCCGGAGGAGGAGAAACCGGATGCGGAGGCGGCTGGTAGCAATGGTGGCGACAGGTAGGTGGGATCAGTGCTCCGGAAACTCTCCAGCCAGGCTTGGGTCCAATTCCGTAAGCGAATTCATCGTACATTCCAAATTTGCATGCCTAGTTCAAGAGTTTTTCCATTTAATCAAAGTAGCTGTAGTTGGAGTATCCAAATGATCCAATATTAACAATGCATTCCCTTTACCACTTACAGGCGCGATTCGATCACCGAGGAGATCACGATAACGAGCACCACCACAAACAGCAGTTCGAGCAGCAAACTCCTAACCATTCAGGAAGCTGCCGGCAGCCTCGAGCAGAGCAGCGTCTCCATATCGACGTCCTCCAAACAGAGCGCTTCCACAACATCCGGCGGCGGATCGCCACCACAAGTTGGAGGAGCCCCAGGTGCCAATGAATCGAATGGCAGCAACCTCAGCCTAAACCAGGCCGCCACTTCCACTAGTCCTGCCTCAGGTTCCAGTGCTGCGCCAGGTGTCACGCCCAGCATAAACATCGTGTCCAGCGATTCGGGTCGCGATCAAACGCAGCAGTCGCAGGGCGTCGACTCCAACGGACACACTGCCTCGGGGGACAGTCCCTCTAGCCGGAAGAGCTCCACCGGCTCAAAGGGCAAGCCCAGCCAGGCAAAGCTATCCACATCCAGCAGTGGACGCGATGAGGTGAGTCGAAGAGCAGGATCGCCAGGGAATGGGACTTAGCACTTCGGAATAACTATTTAATCATGTTTATAAATTAGAGCCCTGCTTGAATGAATTAATTAGAATTTTGAGTTTAATGGAATTGAATGACTGAATGGATTAAATTCCGCAATAATTCAAACGACAAATTCTTTTGAAGAAGAAAGGGCCATAATTTTGTGATTAAATCTGCATGAATTTTATTTTCCAAGCAGTTAACATTGATTTGTTAAAGATTTTCCACATTTTGTTCTCAAAATAAAGCACACAAAAAATTGGCAAATTCAAAAAATTCATAAAAATTATTCATTCATTCATTCAATTCGAAATGAATTAGAAAAACATTCAATTTATTTCCCATAGAATTGAATTAAACAAATCAGAAATTTCATGACATACTGTGATAAAACAAAAATTGAATGATTCACTCAGGGTACTAGTATAAATAATGTTAAGCTATAGTTTATAGACACGTTTTTCTGAAACTCACTTAAGACTTTGTAAAACTAGTTTTTGTAACCTAACTTCCAACCTACCCTAAATATGTCGCACTATTTCTAGAACAATGTTATCGTTCAAAGCTGCGTGCACTATAATGACGGCATTTTTAGTTACCTGTGAGCATGATAATTCAAAATATGTTCAACCAACGACATTCCAAATTAAGTGAATCAATTCGTTGTACCTTTTCGCCATATGTAAGCCTATTGCGCTCGTCAGTTAACGCATTCTTTATCAATTGTATAAATTTAAATAATCACGTCACTTGTAGGTAATTTCAACCCTATTTTGGGTTAGGCACCATAAAGAAGGTTTGAACCGGGAATAGGGAGTGACTTCTGAATATATATTTTTAACAATATAACAGTTTTTCTTATCAATAAAAATTTTAGGGGTACATAAATTTAATTATAGTTTTTATATTTCATTTTCATTTCTTCGAATTGATAACCCCAGAATCACCCGAATTGTGTTTGTTTTTTACGATGAACTAATTGATTGTGCCTAATTTTGAGACTAGTTCTAACAAAATATTTTCAAGTTCAAATGAATGAATTTCATATCTTTACGACTACGAAGGGCTAGTCAAGAAACCCCATTTATTTCCGTTTTTATTTGAATTCTGAGGAAAAGCTTTCAAAACTAGCACTTTGTTGATTTAAACCATTAGCCACAACACACACCCCGAAATAGGTGTGAAATTGACGAAGCTAAGTGTTCAAATCAAATTAAATACACTCGAACGAGCTGGCGATCAATCGATCAGGCGATTGACAGATAGAAAGCTGGATAGATTGCCCATTGGGCCGACAGATAGACGTGGGCCATTGGGATTAATAGCCGCATATTGGCCATCTAAGAGCTCAATCTAATCTAACTGGCTGATAAGAGGCATATGTTGTGGGTATATAGAGATACCCTCTCACCCTTTTTCGAGGGGCAACGCCACTGATTAGAATCACCCTTCAATGCGAAAGCTCGCGGCATAAATATTATTTTTTTGGGCCCAAGCTTTTTTGCGACCATCCAGCGATGATAACACTTCGTGTGCTGAGCTGTGCTCCTCCATTGACGTTTGCCCGGCTGGCAATGGCAAATTGGAATTCAATAAGCGACGAGGCGTCTCAGCAACCAAATAGCGAATAACAAAAAAAAGGCAAACTAATATTGCAGCGAACTTTGTGTAAATAATTAGGGGTCGTAAACGAACGACAAGCGTGAGGTTGGTGATAAGAAGCAAAAACCAAACACCTGGCCGAAAAGAGACTTTCCTACGAACGGGCGTGACTCACCCACAAAAAAAAGAGTTAACAAACAGAGTGCTGGTACGAACAGGTGGCCAAAAAGCCAAAGGCAACGATATCGAGCTGCCTGGTGCGACCAATTTAGAGCTAAAATGTTTGTTCACGCCACCGCAGCCACCGGCAATAAATGGATCTCCTCATGGTCTTTGATCAACTCTCCCTCTCGCTTGTCTCCCAGCAGGACATCTCGCACCACCGGCTGAGCGATCTCACCCAGCACGAGCTGAGCCTGCTGCGCGTCGACCGGGATCAGCAGCTGAACAGCAGCAGCTCCACCTCCAACGAGAAGCCGGCCAAGCCATCAAGGCTATCGGAGCGGGCCAAGAAGAAGTCCTGGTACAACGTCATCTATCCCAACTACAAGTCGCGGGCCGAGGACTTCAAGAAACTCTTCAAGGACGTGCCCAACGATGAGCGCCTGATAGTGGGTGAGTTGAATAAGGGGGTGATCAATATTCTAATATAATCAAATCAGTCACATGCTAATTTAGACCGATAAAGTTGATTATATTTATCAGTTTCTCCATAGGAAATAAATATATCGTTTCCTATTAATTGTAAACTGAATTAAACTGATATTAAAACAATATAATTCTTAACGATTACCCCATCAAAATTCTGTATGGCTATGACTCACGAATACATAAGTGTTCTGACTGCTCCATTCAGGAAATAATGAGCAATAAAAGATGACTAAAAAAAAATTTTAATTTTTTGATATTAAATAAAAATTTAAGCCATACAAATTGTTTTGGGGATTATAATAATTACATTATTAATGAGAAAAAACAAATTTTAGAGTAAGCTAAGATCTCCCAAATAAATGCACTAAAAATTCCTGGTAATTAAATAATTCATTCAGGAAATAATGAGCAAAAAAAGGTGACTAAAATAAAATTTTAATTTTTTGATATTAAATAAAAATGTAGACCATACATATTGTTTTAGGAATTATAATAATTATTTTAGAGTAAGCTAAGATGTCCCAAGTAAATGCACTAAAAATTCCTGTTAATTAAATAATTCATTCAGGAAATAATGAGCAATAAAAGATGACTAAAATAAAGTTCTAATTTTTTGATATTAAATAAAAACCGTGCAGACCGTGCAAATTGTTTTGGGGATTATAATAATTATAATATTTAAGAAAAATAAATTAACGTTGAGTTTTCCCAGATAAATGAACTAAGAATTCCTGTTAATTAAATAAGCCCTAATTAAAAACAATTAACTCAAGCGACTATCTTCTTCCGCAGACTACTCGTGTGCCCTGCAACGCGACATTCTGGTCCAGGGTCGTCTGTATGTGTCGCAGAACTACGTCTGCTTCCACGCGAACATCTTCAGCTGGGAGACCTATGTGAGCATCAAGTGGAAGGATGTGACGGCCATAACCAAGGAGAAGACTGCCCTGGTGATACCCAATGCCATTTCGATATCCAGCGGCAAGGACAAGTACTTCTTTGCCACGTTCACCTCGCGCGACAAGAGCTTCTTGATGCTCTTCCGCGTCTGGCAGAACACGCTGATGAACAAACAGTTTTCGGCGCAGGAGATCTGGAAGCATGTGCACACCTGCTACGGCGAGGAGCTGGGCCTGACCACCGACGACGAGGACTACATCGATCCCACGCTGGACAACAACGACAGCAACGAGACGGACTTTGACTTCCAGACGGCCATCGATGACGATAGCCAGTCGCAGCGGCAGTCGCAGCAGTCGAATCAATCCACCCAGTCGAATCCCAATCAGCTTCCCCAGAGCGGCAACAGCAGCGCCAGCAGCGGCGGCGGCGTCCGGGCCTCTGCGCCCCGCAAGTCCAAGACGAAATACTTCTTCAACTCCTCCAAATCTTCGGCCAACGCCTCGGCCAGCGGATCGGATAATAACAAGACCCGGGAGAGTTCCCGCAAACTGAACAAGAAGATGAAGCAGAATGCCAAGGAGCTGACGCTCAGCTCGGTGAAGCCGACGGAGCTGTCGGTGAGCGTCACCATGAGCGCACCCAGCGCCAGCAGCAGCAGCACAGCCGGCTCCACCACAGCCTCCTCCTCCACCATTGCCAACCACACGGGCTCTGGCTCCGGTTCGGGATCGGTGTCGGGTTCAAACACGGCGGCGCCCAGCGGCAGTGGCAGCGAGAAGAAGGCTGCCGAGAAGAAGATCAGTACGTCTTCGAACTCCGCCGCTTTAGCAGCAGCATCTCTGGCCACTGCCACGGATTCCAAGCTGGAGATAAAGCGCAAGTTGGGGAAAAATCATCGCCAGCGGGATGAGGGCAAAAATGCTGCCGAAAGTGTGCCCACAGATGTCTCCGATTCGTCGGATTCCGAGGAGAATAACTTGCCGTAAGTTGGGCACTTCAGAGCACTTCAATTCCGTTTAAATGACACAAAAATGTTCATTACCCATTAGCACCCTTTGAAAAGTTAGGACATTTTGTGAAAGTCAAATTTAAACTTTTTTTTCTTGTATTTTTTATGATTTTTTGAATGGAACGATCTCAGTAAAATTTTTAATGAAAAGTAGAAAAAAGGGGCTAAAATTGTAATTTTAGCTATATTGAAAAATCATTAAAAATACAAGGAAAAATATTACATTTTTTTTTTCAGGATTTATTAATTTTGATTGGGGAAAAACTTTGCATCAAAACTTTTTGTTTTAAGCCCCAGGAAAAAAGTTTAAAATTTGAATTTATAAGTTTAAAATTTGAATTTATAAGTTTAAAATATGAGTAGATTTAACTTTAAAGTCTGTCAAAATAAATATGCCGACCAGTGTATATCCATTGTAATTAAAACTATTTGTATTCTATTGTAGATTTGTGCCCACCACCGAGTGTACCTCGACCCATGAGGGCCGCCAGATCGTCCACACCATTCTGCCCATCAATGTGGACACCTTGTTCAATCTGCTGTTCAGCAAGTCCAAGTTCATAACCGACTTCCATGCCATGCGCAAGTCAACGGATTTGGTGCTGGGCGAGTGGACCAAGAACGAGGAGGGTCTACAATCGCGCACTGTGAACGTCACCGTTCAATTGGCCGCCTCTGTGGGACCCAAGACCTCAAAGGTGAGTGTGCATTTGCCCCTTAAATAAATAAACTGACTATCATATATGGATTCCCCTTAGGTAACCGAGTACCAGGTGCAGCGGGAGTGCAGCAAACCGGGCGAACTGTATTCCATAGACGTGAATAGCGTTAATGCAGGCATTCCATACGCGGACAGTTTCAGTGTGCTCATACACTTCTGCCTGGCCAGGTGAGTCATTCAGCGAGCTCCTCTTGAACTTTTCCAATTGGCCACTTCAATTCGTTTCCCCAGAACTGTCGATGATCACACTATGCTGTCGATTCACACCCAGATCAAGTACAAAAAGTCGATCTGGGGCGTTGTCAAGGGCTTCATCGAGAAGAACACGTGGGCTGGCCTGGAGGACTTCTTTGGCGCCCAGTTGCATGCGCTCCAGAGCGAGACCTGCATTCCGCCGGCCAAGGGAAAGGGACGCAGGCCGAGGAGAGGTAAGCATCGCGACTCAAGCCACTGTAACCAATTAACTACAATGCAACAACCACAACAACAAGAACAACAGATACAGCAACAAAGCAAAGCAATTTCTCTCTAATCTCTGTAATGAAAGTACTCAATCCGAAATCAATCAAATTCGATAACCACACAAAACCACGCACGCATGTCCACAACATCTAAACATCCAAGAACATGTTAAGAACCCAAAGCCACAACCAGCTACAGCAACCAACATACATCTCAGGCATGAATCAGCAATCCGCCACCTCGACCACATCGACCACTAACCACACAGCGACCAGTACGGACAATGACAGCATCCAGGAGGCGCTTCATCCGCAGCAGCAGAACGAGCATCACCAGCATCAGCATCTGCACATGCACCATCACCACCACCATCACCACGGTAGCCAGCATCACCACCACGATCCCAGGCACTCCCACCATCATCAGCCTTCGCTTCCCCATCATCACCAGCATCCGCATCAGCATCCTCATTGGCATCACCGTAAGGCTATACTTCAGGCCAGCAGCAGAGGTACAGCGCTTGAGTAATTGGATGCTTTTAGTGAAATTATTGCCTCAGGGGAACTTATTTAGAACTTGGAACATTTTAATAAGAAGAGAATTAGCAGGGACCGTAATTAATTGTTATTTAAGATTTTTATTTTAAAAGACCTACTAAGATTTGTACAAGTTTTAATCAACAATTTAACTGGTTTTTATGCACTTTATAGACATGAACAAATAACAGTTCATTTTCGTTCCAGATTTGTTGTTTACAAGAGTAAAAAGAACGTTATTTTTGACGTTTAAAACAAAATATCACAGTAGTCTTTTTAAAATAAAAATCTCAAATAACGAATATTTTCGGTCCCTAAAAATTAGTTGCTTTTTTTTTATCAAGTAATCTAATCAGGGATCTGCACGTGTAAACTCCAAATGTTGTTATATTAATCTAAATTTATTTTGGCCCTCATTTATCTGAGTCGTCCACTTGAATAGGAGTTATAAATGTTGTCAGCTTATCAGTTAAAGACATTAGGTAGCAGATTATTTTGTTTCTTATCTGACAAGCGAATGCAGACAAGAAAAATTGGCAAATGTAAGAAAAGCAAAAGAGTTAGAAAGTAGGTTTTTTGTGGAAGCTTTGGCTTTCTAATAGAGAAAACTTTAGGTAAAGTAGCGTTTATATATAGGGGTAAACAGCAGGCATTGTCAAAGATTTATGAGCATTAGTTGATATAACCAGGTTGCCGATCATAAAACAATTTCATGAATTTCAACCCTCCTTTGGAATGCTTCCTTTTATTAATCAAATTATTTTTCTACTTGTAACGATTACTTTTAATTGCTTTATCAAGCTTCGATAAGGTTTCGTCATGTTTTTTTTAATCTCTTGCTCCCTACAAGTTTATCATGAAATTTTCTTGGCTCTTTCATAAGTGTTTGGTATTTCATTGGAGCAGCTTCAGCTAATTCGGATAAATATTAATAAAAAAATGTTTTCCAAATTTTTTGTAAGAATTTTTTTTCCGGCAAAGCAGTCTTTTTCTTTGTATAAAAGTTTATCCACTGGTAATGCTAATTCTTAAGCTTCAAACGGTTTTTTGCATTTATCATAAACATAATCCATTTGCTTTTTTATTGCAGTTTCATTTTGATTACTAGTTATCTATATTTTGTTGTACTGTTATTGTTGTGTTTCTGTTGCCAGCACCAAATCTTGCTTATGTTTATTTCGGTTTTTCGTTCGAATGGTTTGATTTCTAACCGTGCCATTTGCCATTCCTCTCGACGCTCGTCCCCGTCTCTCCGCAGGTACCGCCACCCAAATTCGTCCACTGGAGGAGGCGATCGTTTCGGCCCCGTCCGGTGATCCCCTGGAGGGCCAAATGCTGTCCACCGGCGGCGGCGGCATTCCTACGGCGGCAGTCGGCGCCGCCACCGGTCATCCGCTGCTGCTCGAGGGCGGCAAGCAGCAGCAGCAGATGCTACACCACCAGCAGCAGATGCACCACCACCACCACCTGCAGCCGCACAAGCAGCACCACCAGCAGCAGCAGCAGTTGCACCTGGGCGGCGGCGACGGCCAGCCGATGGCGACGGGTCACGGGTCACAGGGTCACAGACTCAGACACAAGGGCTTGTGGTTGTTGGTTATACTGTTGCTGTGCTTGATGCTGGCATTAAATGTGATATTATTACTTAAGCTCTGGAAGCTGGAGGAACGCATTGACGTGGATCTCAATCGGCGGGCTCGCCTGCCCAGTTTGGCGGCCCTGAGGTGGGTGTAATTATCACATATTGGTAGCCAAATTTGGTTAAATATTAATTTAATTTTAGTGAGCTACCGAGCACGAACCAGGAATGGCTGGAACTGCTGCGCGACCAGGAGATGGCGCACGAGAACGAGCTGCAAAAGTGGCAGCAGGTGCTCCAAACTGCCATCGAGCTGCTGAAAAAGGTGAGCATTGTCTGCGAAAAGATCTACAACGATGGCCAGCTGCGTCAGAGCATTGAGTCGATGTCGATGGCGGTGCACACTGAATTCTAAGCATCTCATTAGACGGTGATTAACAGCAGCGAACAGTGACTGCGGCAAGAGCAGCAAGAGCGACCACTAATTGTAACCTTAACACTCACAACCACACACATGTATACTTGCAGTGCGTTTCATAATTGCAGGGCAGCTGTAGCGATCTAATAACTGAATTATTTTGAAGACATGCTAGTTTAATATACTGTAAATTAAGAATATTCCGGTTGTTCTTAATTTGAAGCTGAAGTTATAGTTGTTCGATTAAAAGTTCTACCGCCAAAATTTACTTTTTCATGATAATCTTGTCTGAAAGTTTTGAAACGCACTGCACTAGCGGGCATTTGTTACTGATCTCTTAGTTAGCAATACACAAAACCCCAAATTGTTGCATGTCCCCTTGCCTCGGTTTAAGAAACGTTTTCTCTGGCGCCTGACTGAAGAGATTAATGTTGCAAATTCGTGTATCCAAATCCAAGCTTTAATCTATGTTTTCCAACATCTATCTCAACCAGAGACAAACAAATCCCTAGAGATAAGTTCTGTATTCCGTAGAGCAAACTGAGGGCCAGCACATTTTATGCTTTTATGAAGTGCGAGTGAACTTGTATTGAATATCATTTTGGTCTATTCGCAAGCAAAATTTAAATGTTCACAGAGAGGAAAGAAATTCCTGAGGCACTACACACAAACTCACTGTAAAACTTTGTATTTTTGTAAGTCATTTTTATTTTTTATTTATCTTTGTAGAAAGTACCTACTCATTCACTCTTAACTAACCTCTTTTATGTTTGACTAAATTCGTATCCTTAGTTGCTTTCTTGTAGATTGCTTTTTATGTGGAGAACATTGAGTTTGCCTATAACCCGTTTTACTCAAATATTTTTTGTTTTTCAGACTGAAAGAACTTTGGCTGAAATCATTGTACGCTAGCAGTAATATAAATTAAACAAAATGTTGTGCAAGTAAAGTTAATCCAATCCAATTGTCTTCGACAAGCTAGCAAAACACCCAATGCAATGTTTTGGGCCAAGAGCAAAGCCACCAAAAAATCTGAAATTGAATTTAAAATTCAACTAAAATTTAGTCACAAACCCCCAACACACATAAGAAAAATGGAGGACACAAACCGATATGTCATTTATGCATATTTATGATTATGTTTTACCCGTAAGAAAAGCGCAGTGTAATTTACGTCATAAGTAGCTGCATTTTAGTTAGATTAGAGCAATTGTTTTGTTTTTACCACGGCATTTACGCGTAGCACCTGTTTGCTTTGCTTTGCTTTAGACAAATGTATCTACGAATTCCTCAAGTATTTCATATCTCACAACATACCAAAAACCGAAACAAATCAAGAGAGAGCGCTCTGAATTTTTGTTTTAGAAAATTCATTTAAATGTCGAGCAAGCGCAAAACCGGCAAACTGGAGAGTATATAATTATAATTATAACTATAATATAATTGCCAATATATGGCTAGAGAGAATTTGATAAAAACGATTATACAAAATATTTATTGTGTACAATATTTTTGTAAAACCAATCGAAACAATTGTGAGCAATGTTTTCGTTCTTTTGTATAACTCCTCCTAACTCTTTACCTTTACCCGTTTTTGGCGCCCGTTTACAGACGATACCGATACCAATACAAGAATCAGATACCAGATACTTCAAACTATTCAATCTAAAACGCAAGGCAAGATTTAAACCAATAATTGCATACTCTATATACACTATATATATGAACCATATGTATGGCCAAGTATTGTTAGTTCGTAGTAGTTGCATTTTAAATTAACAGAGCAAAAACAAAACAAAGCAAAAGCTAAAGGAAAAACAAGCAGAAGAATAATGTGAAGAGGTTAAAAAGAAAGTAAAGCAGAATATTTAAGAAGATACGTTTAGATGTAAGCGAAACTAAATTAAAATGTTGGTTCATCCCACACTAAAAACTAATTCTTGTCAAATCAATTTGGCCCGTAGCAAAATTGGCTTAAAATTTGTGTCACAATTTAGGCTTAGTGAACATAACATTTAAGAATAAGAAACCGAATGTTAAGCTGCAGTAATGAAAATTCTAATTTATTATAAAACCAAATAAATACAAATAAAAACAAAAATGGTTAATTTAATAAAGGGATACCATGTTACAAGGGTGATTTTAATTAATTTGAAATAATTTTTATTCGCGTATATAAACTAGATAAACCTAACTGAAGTACATTTTCAATTTATATCGCCTTCATGTGGGTTTAAGTGAGTTCCAAGATCATATTGATTAAATCTTCTGATTACGAAGTAACAATTTAAGTACTTGAAATGGAAACATAGACTACGTTCCATATGCATAGGGACCAAATATTCTTAAGATTTTTAAAGACGCCAGCGTTTTCGGAGAGGAGCCTCTCCATTGCCGGAGATCTCTGATATCTTGCTGCTGCGCATTTGGACACTCGACTTCTCGGCTAAAATCTTCGTGGTCTTCACTTTAGTCACTTTGGTCTTCGGTGGTTCATCCTTGTGTCCAAGCTCCATCTTTCTTGGGGAAAGAGGAGAGCGCTTTATCTGAGTGATATTGGGCTTGCTTGGCTTCTGCTTGCTACGGAATGATCCCTGACCACCCGCCATCCTCCTTCGCCGATGTGGGCTGATCACCACCTTGGAGGACTTGGCAGTGGTCTTCCTGCCAGACTTGCGATCACTTGGGGTTGCGACGGGCCCACGACCTTTCGATATCTTCTCGACCAGTTTCTTGATCACCTCCTTGTTCGTCGGCGGCTGGACTTTCAAGGAGGTTTGCTTTTTGGTCAAATGTGCGGCAGTTATCGCGTTCGGCGGACATGGTGACGGTAGGTCGAATTCAGGGGTATCAGTCATCTTCATCGGAATTGGCTTAGATTTTATGATGGGTTTCTGCTCCTCTTTCAGCCGGCGTGACAATGTATTCGATCCTTTGACAGCTTCTTTCAATTCACGGCGTAGCCTCTGGTGACGTTCCACCATCATGTCGAAAATGGAGACTATCGGCGTATCCAGCAGAGAGGTCATCGTGTTTGAACAGAATAAAAGATTGCTAATATAGAATTCTTTGAAATATTTTGGGATAAATGTGTAATGGAAATGTGTGAGCTGAGGGGGAGCGTTTGAAATATGAGCTACAGGAGAATCGGAAAGGGTGGGAAATGATATTCCATGACTGTCTGATCGAATAAATAAAAATATAATTTCTTGGAAAAATGATCTAAAAATTATAGTTTAGTAAAAACAAAATATATATACAATTTTCTCCATATGCACATATAAAAACAAAATTTTAAAAAATTTAAGTAAAAATATTTGCATACTTTTAGGAAAAGTAAAGTAAAGTCAAGTAAATAAAAGTAATGTAAACTTTGAGATTAGTAAAGTTTGAAGTTTATTTGGAACTTATATTAAATATTTAGCTTAAGAGAGTGATAATAGTATCCTTAATAATTGAAGTTATATATTATATTTTAAAAATTATTTACGTTTTTGGCATTTTTTTTAATCATTTTTGTTTAGATCTAACAGCGACGCAGTCTAGCAGGAAGTGAGTTATAAAAGGCTTCGACCCAATTTCGATTGCCCTGTTTTATTTCCCAACTCAACCAAGTTCAAAAGCCTTAAAGAAATTCACATGACGCCGAATGACTAAGATCACCGACTTTTTTGTGTCGCTTCTTTTGTTGCATTACAGCTCTCCCCATGGGCTATATCAAGAAATCGCAACCTGACTGACTGATAAGAGTTCAAGTTCATTAAACCTCATAAAAATCAGGAAAAATTTGTGAAATTCAGAAAGTCTTTCAACGGTTCTTCGATGTAGGAAAATAAGAATGTACTTAAGTGTGTATAGGTGGAAAGGCAGTGGTACCTTTTTTGAAAATTATTTTATTTTGAAATTTAAAAGGAATTTGTGAATTCCATATTTATAACCTTTTCTATTCATACAGCAATAAATAAAAACATATATGAGGTTAAAAACCTTTACTATTATGTTGACCACAACTGTTTACTAAATTCGTATGTATGTATAAATATTTGGCTGCGAAACTAAATTAATAGAATTTTAGCAAAAACAAGAAAAAACTAAATTGGAAAAGCAACAAATTATTCACATTCCCTCCCGGCAATTTGCTTAATAAAATTTGTCTAGAAATTCAATATTTGTTGTACGCACACGCATACACTGCCACAAAAAAAGGCCAACAACACGCACTTACGTACTCCCAAAAAAAGAGCAAAATATGGGAAAAAATATGAATCTTATCAGCGGTAGGACAAAAACAAAGTTCAGTAAAAAACCGAAACAAGAACAAAAAGAAAGCTGTCAGAAATCAGCAGGAACAACAACAAATTGGATGTGTTATTTTTCAAGGTTAAGAGCAAGTGCGTGTGCGTGAATTTGCCGCCAGTGTATGTGTATGTGTGTCTCGCACATTTTGCACATTGTGCGTATAAATAAAAAAAAAACAACAATAAAACCACCAACACAGCAACAGGAAAAAATAATTTTTTTTATAGCGAGCCGAGAGCTACGCACCGAAAATAGAGAAAAAAAGAGCACAGACTGCAACAACAAAACCCGGCAACTTGGCGACTTTTTTCGCTTTGCCTTTATGGCAACATAATAAAGTTAATAATTTCGCTACAAACTGAACAATCATCATTATTTAGGCCTAATATGCAATTGTGCGTTATTTTCCATATGATTTGGTCAACGACCCAACCACTGACACATTTAAAATTTTTATTATTTTATTATCGTTTCAAGTTCCAAGTGTAATCTCCTCCCTTTCTCCCTCTCTCTCTCTCTTTCTCTGGCTATTTCCCCTTTTTTGCTCACCCCCACAGCTACAAACATACATATTGCACGCACACACGGTACGTATACGCATTCAAATTGCGTATACGCAGCGTTTACCCTCGCTGAGTTTAATGACTGATAAGATTGAAAAGCTGGCATTTGCCTAACAGAATCAAAAAGAAATTATAAAGTGGACTAAAGGGAACTTTCTAGAGAATTATAAATAGGTTTTCCTGAATATTTTCAGGTTTCAAAATAAAGAAACCTTCTTCTAACTAAAATCAGAATTAATAGAAAACACTATTAGATTTTTCAATTAAAGATAATAATGAAAGTATACATAAAAGGTTTATATGCCCTTTTTAATACATATTATCAATGTACATATAATAACTAATTTTCAAACTATATTTCAATCTGAAACCCCTTTACTAATAAAACAGAATAAAGAATCAACGCTAGCCATTTTCAAATGAGTCAATCGCGACACATTAAATCGCCGCAAAGCCGTTCGCTACTCTAAAAACGTCTCGAAACTTGTTGAATGACTTCTGGGTTGCCAATCAAGACCTTAAATTTCTATCGCCAAGTCGAAATTTGCGATCGGCCAAACCAACACACCAACTTTTTCATTAACTTGTATTATTTATCAACGAGTATTATCGGTGTGCCGGAGGAAATGTAAGCTTGGATAACATGGAATTAACAGCAGGTGAAATGATCTCGCTGTAAGCCTGTAACATTTGTAATAAGGCAAGCAGAGCGGAGCCAACTTAACATTCATGTAATGAAAAGAGAGTGAGAGAGAGACAAGCTGCAGTGAGAGTACACTCAACGAAAAAATGAATTTTTATAAACTATATTTATTATTTTTTAAATGTATATTTTTTATAGATTTTAATCTATATCATAGTTTTTAAAATATTCTTTTTTAGCTGTATTACAAAATTTATAAGATCTTTTAAAGTTTTTTTTACTAAACATTTGATACCTTAATAGGTGGTTTCTGTACCATATTCTCAAATATAGAAAACATAAAAATGGAATTAAAGGTTTAAGGTTTTTAAGCTGTAAATAGAACCAGTTTTTGTATATTATACACCTCACTAATTTTAATATTTTTCTTATAAAACATTATTTTAAAGTTTTCAAATGAACAAAAAAACTTGTTTTTGGTGCAAGCGCCATACGCACGTGCAGATGGATCGTAGGCGGTGAGAACGGGAGAGTTGGAGAGTTCGACGAGAGCAGGAGAGAACGAGAATGAATGTCATTCATGGCTAAGCAGCGCCGTCGACAGAGGCAGCGGCGCTTGGAGCGGGAGCGCGAGCGTTTAATTTTAACGGTCCCCACGATCGGTTCAGTTCGAGATCGAAATCGGGCTGCGTTGGATGTTTTCTTCAATGCTCAAGCGCGCCGAATTCGCGTTGTGTGGAAAAGCGGAATAGCTCTCTGGTTTTCGTCGTGTTGTTCCAGCGTTTTACGTTTCTACGTTTCCCCATAATATTCGTTCGATCTGTCCGTCTTTTCGGTTCGGCTTTACAAATCCCCCCAAAAAGCCCCCCTCCCCGAAAAAAAATTAACTCGCGTGTTATCAAAAATGTTTACAAGAAACCTACATATGTTTAATGAATAAAACAAAGCAAAATATCGTTTAAATTGCTGAAACAAAAAAATGTGCTGACGTTTTTAAATATCACATTCGGAAAAAAGCAAAGAAGAATTTTATTACGTTCCGTCGCTTTTTGGGTGCGTTGTTTTTGTTACTTTACTTTATATTTTATTCAAACACATTGAAATTGCACAAAATGAAAACTGACATTTTGCTCTGGCGCTTTGTTTCGCGCGGGCTAATTGGCAAATATAACAAAATCCGCAAAGCGTCTCCACTTCTCCCTGATTCTCCTTTATTCCGTTTAATTATCATTTCGGTTTCTGTTTCGGTGGCAGTGCATATAGGAAGTTGTCGGAAAAGTTGTCCAGCTAAAAAACTAAAGGAAACCACATTTTTGAGGAGACGCCGCGTTGTCTAGGCGAAATTTTGTGAAGTTTAAATTAGATTGAGTTTTAGAATTGAAGAATATTTAGCTTAAACTGAAGTAAATAGTTTGGAGCAAAACTAACAACAGCTGGTTCCTGTGGTTTTATGAATTTTCGCTTGAAAATACTACGCAGAATTTTTCCTAACTAACCAAGCCTTAATTCTTATATAAATTTCCTGGAGAAACCAAATGAAAATGCAAAATTAAAGGTATTGAGCATACATCTCATTCTAGGGATTTCATCAGTTTTTGCATGGTAAACATTGCAAGTTGCACAGGGCGTTACACACAAATGAGTCTATCCAGCCCATCAATTTGCCCTCTAGAAATTTCTTGGTACAACTAAATTGCTGTTGAAAACAATTTTAAAATAAAACCATGATGATAAAATCATTCTGTGAATTTTTTCATGAACTAAATTCTAATGAAAGTGTCAAGTGAAAAATCGTAAATAATATTGTTTCGATTTTAAAAAAGTCTTTACTTTATTGAGGTGAACAAATTATTCTGTCAGTTATGTGCAATTTCTTATTGTCTTTTTAAAATTATATCACAACTTATTCAACTAGTAAGTTATGAAAAACTGGCCATCATATTAATTATCCCTCTACTCTTCTCTGATTTTACTATATTACAGTCTGCCATAATTTCGAGAAAATAAAACAAAAAGGAACCAGACAAAGCCAGGGAATTATGAAATTTTAAAGAAATCCCCAAAAACCCAAGACCCAACGGCAACGAAATATGTTTAATGCATTAAAATAAAGGAAACGTGTTTAAGGCGAGTGCAGGCAAAAGGCGAACAAAAAGTTATATACACACGCGTCGTATATATATTTAAACAAGATTTACATTTAAAATCAACCAATACACACGTACGTATATTTAAACTGTGGCGGCAACACAATAACAACAATAACACTGAGCTAAAGCGTTCACAAAAAGGTGATAATGATTATTTCCAAGGATCTTTTCATATTTGGCGAACAAATTTTTGCAACAATCATACCAGAAGGTGGAGCCGCAGCGCTAGCAACACAGCAGCAGCAACATCAGCAACAACAGCAACAACAGCAACAGCAGCAACATCAGCAGCAGCAGCAACAACAGCCGGCAATTATAAATTCAACAGCAACAACGACGACGGCAACTTCGTTGGTAATAAACTCGACAGCAGGAGCAGCTGAACAAGTTGTAGAGGAGTCATTAAAAGTAGCAACAGCAACACCAGCAGCAACACTACCAGCTAAACAGGAAACAGTTGAAGTTGCTCCTCGCAAGTTGG